ATAGTTACGTGTGTTCGAATTGACCAAAATTGTTTAGCCGGGGAATAAATTCGATTAATTGCAGTTTTAGATTGTGCATTTGTGTTCCGTTATTGTTTTATTTATTTATTCTATAAATGCCAACAAAGTCTTGAGCTAGCGTAGCAATTTTTTTTGGAATGGCTCCATCTTTGGTTAATAGTACTAGTGTAAATGAACACCCACATAGCAATAGTTAAAGATGGAATTATAAAAATAGGGCATACGATTTAACCAACAACTTTTTCTGATCGCTTGTTTTGTTAACAGTGTGAAAGAAAAGCGTCTCGAGTGATAAGAATTACCTTGTGCGCGACGTTATGCTTTATTATTATAACCATTATATAAGCAGAAAATTTAAAATGTAATGTTAATCTTGTGGCAGACTCTTTAAAATTTTTGAATGCAAACTCGGTCAGTATAAGCAAATGACCCATTGTTTTGTCCCGTACTGACGTGACAGTAATAATTTGTTTATTGTTTATCTATTCGACGTTGGTTTTGGAATCACTAACGGCGGTGAACGTGAACATGGCGATGTTGCAAAAACTGCTAAATTCGTTTCTTTAATTTATGCACACACGCAGATTTATGCATGTCAATTACACGTATATATAATTTATAGAGCCGCACAGCAATTTTTAATTGATACTCATTGTCATAGTCATTACTTAACTCCGATGTTAATGAGCTTAAAAGTAACCAAATATTTGTTCAAAGTTTTCGAGTCACGTCTTAGCGTTTGTTGTCCTCAGAGCTGTCATAGCTACAGTATTTCCAAAGTCTCTGTAGATACGGGTCAAGAAAATGTGATGGCTCTTTCATGCTTTAATAATCTGTCTCATTAGTATTATCAATAAGACTTGAATACGATATAACACATCTCGATATATCACGTGACATCAGGTATGGAATTCAATTACCAATGTCACGCGCTTCAAATTTTATTCCGCACAACCCAAACATTTAATAGTAATGCCTTTCTCGTTTGCTTGATCGACAGACATTCGGTTACTTGTCCACTATAAACGTTCATATCGCGTTGTCGTGCGCGCCGCCAGAAGGATTACCGGCAACAGTATGAACGATCACACCGAGCGATACGCAAAAAAGCTTGTTTCAATGATCAATCATAATTTATTTATCAAGTCACCAAATTGTCCCTACATTCTCTTTTAGTGAACATTAAATCATTAAATTAGATTGTTTCAGTCAGTAACATTAGACAAAGATAAACATATATCGAGAAAAGACTATTCCTTACTAACTTAAATAGCGATCAAGTCATTCTCTGCCAAAATGCACGGTTCTCCTCCTCCAATATGAAATTAGTTTCCACTTGAGCCAGTTCCATTAATAATTGTACCACCCCACCCCACATCTCTCTACCCCACATCTCTCTATCCCACATCCCATTCTTCTTCATTCAACCATATCCTCAGCAGCGTCGTAGTCATCATCATCGTCACCGAGATATCCCTCATAAGATGTCCGCTTACTCTCCGAGTGTTCGTTGTCCATTTCCATGCGTGTTCCGTCCAGATCTAATGAAACATCGTCTATCCGAAAACTTTGATTGAATTCGATTACCGATTTTTGATGGGTCAACGTTAAACTGGTAGCATCGTCGGATTGAAGGTTTGTAGTGTCTTCCTGTGAATCGCATAATAGAGCTGAGTATCCGAAAAAAAGACAAAAAAATTGAAACCAAGAGTCTCTTTTCTATTTACCTTTGTCGGTGGATCAGGTGGTAGCCATGGAGGACGCTGATACTTGACCAGTGCTTTTTCCGGGTTTCCATACCTGTAAATAGAAACAGTTAACACATCATCAATATTACACTAAAGAAAGCAATTACCTACACCGTAAGTTTTGTTGTTCCGTACTTTCCTTCTTAGATTTAATACATAACGAGGAATCTTGCTCCACATTTTTGTCAGTTCCTTCAGTTCACTCGATATCTCTATTGTACCCGGCTCTTTCTCTTTCTCACCGTCGGACTTGTCGTTATCTGATTCGCTTCCATCGTTGAAATCTGTGACCAACACGACATGTTTTTTCTTTGACGAACTACCTTTATTCGACAATAAATCGTCCTTTTTATTTAAACCATCTATTTCCATAACGTCGTCTCCTATGTCCAATAAAGAAACGTTAGTAATGCTGAATCAGCAATTCGAAACCCTGATCTTATTACAAAGTCTACTATTACTAGTCCGTTACGTAAACCCCTATGGCCTCACTCGCGATTTTAAACTCTGTCAAGGAATAAACATGTATTCGTACAGGTACCGTCTTCTCCTAATGACAAGGCGGTCAGCTCTGAGGACAAGTATTCAGACACATAGCGTCGTTTTGCTCTGTCCGTGGGAAGGCGATCCAGATCTCGTTCGAACGGGAAGAGTCGTTTACGTGTTATTTTAGAATGAGCGTCCATATTGTGTTGTATTATAGCAATTAATCAAGAATATTAAGGCAAATTCTTTAAGAGCTTTGGTCAATGCGAGGTAAGTACTGGGTCTTGAGATCGTACTAGTACTATTTCAGCATGATGTCTCACAACAATTATTTGCCTACCCCCTGTATAAATTTGTTTACTTCGCAAATGGTATTTGTTGCCCGAAAACAGCTTACTGTTCGCGTAAATTCCAGAAATTTCTTCGGCCTTTAACGAAAAAGCGTTTGGATTAACAGTTTGTGTCGACTATATTTTATGAATTTTAATATGAATCCGAATTCCGAATTGCTTTTTCGCTCGCTGAAAATCCTTTTTTTGTTTTGGGAATTTACAATTTTTTACGGATACTCATATTAATAACAAGTGTGCCTTCACCTTGCTTTGTCTGGATGTTCAGACTTGTGCCGCTCCCCCTTGATGGTGCAAGTCCGCTCAACTATAACTAGAGCTGTTCTTGAGATGTCTGAATCGATTTGCGTGATGCAAATAGCAGAAATGTAGGTTGCAAGTCGGCAGTGAACCGAATAATGTGGCACAAGATTGCAATAGAACGTTGGACAATGTTGCATCTATCTTAAGAATTCTGAACAACCAGCTTTTATAGCTTTGGCATAAAGCTGCACTGGATATTAAGGCTTTTGATAATGTCGGGCGACCGGGCGATTGACAACTTTATTCGAACTTCTGAATTAGACAGTAAATATACTCTGAGATGGTTTTCTTCCGAAGAGTTTACGAACATAGAATCGAGTCAAAGTGTTGCTGGCCAAATTATCCACTATGCGCAGACAGTGGATACTGAGGTAATGCTGTTATTACTCGGGAACAATGAAGAATGTACACCAGCCCTTATGAGTAAGTTTGCCAAAAAGTACTCACTTCCGATACGAAAGGATGATATTCCGACATTGCAATTCAGAAGATATGCAAAATGGCTCGACACTCGCAACAAGTTGATATATGGATTTACCAAGCAAGATGACAAGTATTATATGGTTGCTAAGAGACGCTTTTATCACTCTTATTCTCTATATGGATTTTGCCCTGCGTGCGGAATGCTTAGATGTAGTCCAGTCTGGTGTGTTTGTGGGCATAAGGAGTTGTCTGACGGATGGACTAGCAACGATAACAAACTTGATGAATTTATTAAGAGGTCACAGACAAAAACTAACTCGGCAAATGAAGCGTATTTGGAATGGATTCCATTTGATTGTATCAAACGTAATGTGCGGTTATATGGTTTACCTACTTATGAACGTGTAAAATTGACTCCGCTTGATGAGACGGATGGCGTATGTTATGATGTCAAGGTAAGCACGAATTAAATCGTGTTTCGCTGATCCTGTTTAAATAAATTATTGACTTGGATAATATACATTTCTCATTAGTTATGTGATACTTATTCGGATATCCTAACCGGCAAAATTTGGATTACCATCGGATTTACATATGACGCAAGTAAACAAAAATATTATCTCATAAGAGAACATTATGAGGATGGATTATGTCTGGCGTGTACGTGTCGATTAAAGCCTATGATAGATGCATTCTGTTTTGCATGCAAAGCACCACAACCTCTTGATTGGACTACGGGCAACAAACCATTGGATTTATTTATTATGGAATCATGGAGTAATGTGGTCGATATAAATGATGCGTATATACAATGGATAGAATATTCTCTATTAACAAACGTACAAGAGATGACGCCATTACGCCACGGATGCACGCATATAGCAGAATTAGAATGGAATGAATTGACCCGTGTAACACTCAAAAAAATAGTTGATGAACAAAACAATCAGTCGCTTGATTTTCATC